AGAGGCTGCTGGGTCTCTCTTGGGGATCATGTTCCTCATGGCAAAAACAGGATCCTGCTGCAGAAGTTAGATGCCAGAGGTATGAGCTACCAGCTCCTTTTCCATTGCAGCATGGCTAGAGGAAGTTGGTGGGGAACTTGGCTGTGTGGCTGCTACATGGAGCTGTGGGTTTCATGTCTGCTGGGTTCATGGGGAAGTAGCTGTGTTTGCACCTGGCTCTCCAAAGGATGGGAAGAACTTCAGTCTCTCTACTACAAAGCTGATTATGAGGAGGCTCTAAGGACAGCATGGAGGTCTCATGGAGATCTTTAGGATCCTTTCCTCTTCTACTACAGCTCTTTTCAGCAAAGCAGTGAAGAGAAAGATGCTGTAGGGTCAACTTCAAAGGAAGCTGTTGGCTGAGGCAGAGGGCTGCTGCCTTGGGGACCTGCTCTGCCTGTCTGATTCGGGCTGGGAGTGCCTGCTAAAGCTTTCCCTGTGACGTGCTATTTTATAGATCTGCCTAGAAGGGAAGAGGCCACACTCTGCCTTCCCGAGTTCTCCTGACTCCTGCATCTCCCCCCAAGGCATCTGTGGTATCCTCCTACCTGCTAATCTCCTAATTTCCTTTTAATCCATGCACGTGCATGACTTTGCAAAATAATCCCCTTAAAAACATACTGTATAAGACACAGGTTGGCAGGGCAGTGGGACCTAGCAGGAGGCAGGACAGGAAGCCTGCAGAGAAGTTGTTTGCTTACCGGTTTGCCGTCCAAGCCAATAGGGCCCTGAAATAAAAAAGGAAAAATGATGAGAAGTGCTTTTCCTGGGGTGTCTGTCCATCTGCCCCAGGAAGCACTATGTGCCACAAGACTGCACGGACTGGGGTGAGGTGAGGTGACTCTCCCTGCCCTCTGGCCAGGTCCTGGCAGGTACCTGGCCCACTGAGTACAAGCCCAGATTCCCAATTTCTCCAGCAGGGACCTGCTCACTGTCAGCCCATTTCAGCAGCAATGCTGGACACAAGAAGGGAAGAGAGGAGGGATTCATAGGCAATTTGCAAAAAGCCCTCAGAATTTAAAATCCTAAGGTGTCCAGTAAACTAGTTGAAAATCAGCAGTTTTCTCAAGACTTCAACTTAAAAGGGCATACACCTTTGGGGAAGAGGCATTTTTGCAAGTGATAGAATAATAAAAGTGTCCCTGGGAAGAGATGACACGCAGCTCAGCACATGCTGAAGGTACTGTTTGATGAGAAACAGGCTCCACAGAGCGCTGTCCCACTCGGCACTTTCTCATGAGCTGGGCTGATTTGTTTTCTGCTCCTCCAAAAGCCAAAGACCACAACGGCCCGGAGAGATCTGCTTCTCCTCAGCCCCGGGGCAGCTCACAGCCCCCCTTTCCGCACAGGGCAGAGCCGCAGAGCCTGGTCAGACAACTCAGAGGCTGCCAATTCCTCCCATTTTCCAGGCATGAGAGTCTCCCCCGCAGACCTGCTCTGGCACATCCAGTGTCCTGGAGCAGCAGCTGAGCTGCCTGGCGGGAGCAGGGATGTGGGGGGTGTTTGCCTTAGGCTCCCTAGTTGTCCAGGATAAATGCATATGAATAAATAGCAACCGTTTGAGTTCTCCAGCAGCCTCAGTGCTTCAGAGAGTGCTGCCAGCAGCTGTAGGATTGAAATGAAATTTGCTTTGTCCTCTCCTGGGCTTGTTCTCTGTTCCCTTGCCCATCTGCAACAGTGTTTCAGAAGAATTCCCTCTCATGTTTTATGTACTCTCCCTTTGGCATGACCAGGGTGTTCAGCCCAGCACAGTCCCCAGCTGACCCTCACCATGTAGGGCCCCCTTTGGATCCCAGGCACTTCCTGCTATTGGAATATCACCTAAAAGCTCAATTAAGGTTGGAATTTCATCTACCTAGGGGTTATTTTCTTTTTGGGGGGATATTTCTTAGGACGGTTTTCTTTTATCGAACAGATCTGGCTTCACCTATGTTATTTTAACACTTGGGGTTTTTTTTAAATTAATTTCCTTCTGGAGTTGTGTGGTTTGGAGTTTTTTCCCCCCTAAGTATCACTTAAAAGGAAAAAAAAAAGAAAAACAAATGAAGAAAGAATTACTTTTTCCAGTGATATCAGATCAGGTAATTGGTTTCAGGAAGAAATGATGAGATACAGCAGGCACTAATGAGGCTTCCTAGTAACATCACACACCCGTACCTCATAAATTAACAGTTACACTTACCGGGAATCCAGGAAAACCTCTTGTTCCAGGCTGTCCCTGGGAAGGATGAAACAGAGACAGCAGTTTAGAGGAACTGAAATGAATTTTGATAGACCCTATGTCCTCTCTACAGAGCCTTTCCTCTAGCCTCTGACCAATTATCCTAGGACTCTCTGAAGAGACACCTAATTCTCCTCCAAGGGGAAAGTGTCTTGGGAAGGAGGGGAAATCTCTCATCCCCACTCCAGCTTGTGTAGGGCCAAGAAAATGCTGGAGCAGCTCCATTTTGGACTGCAAGCAGTTTCCTTGAAGTTTTTACATTAATTAAATGGGTGTCCCTAGCCCATATGCTAGGCTTTTGGAGTATATTCCAGAGGCTGAGCTCATTTTATGGCAATTCTTGCTGCCATAAACCGGAGGCGTTTAATGCAGGGTGCTGCTCTGTGCAAGACAAGCCTCACAGATCACTGGTGTCTAAACACAACCATCCCCCTTCTCCTCCTCCCCTAATCTCAAGTCCCAGGACATTCATTTTCCTCACAAATAACTCTGGAGAAGAGATGATGTTTTTCTTTTCTGGTTTTTTTTTTTTTTGGTTGGTTGGTTGGTTGGTTTTGGTTGTTGGCTTTTTTGGTTGGTTGGGTTTTTTTTGGTCCTCTGAAAGCTAAGAGAAAAAGGAGAGTTAGGCAGTGTGACGAGAGGAACATGAGCACCAAGTCTTTTCCCCACCTCTTGCTAGCTAGCCAGAATTGGCTACCAGTTTGGGATCAGGTACAGCAAACACTGGCTTGGGATGTGTTTGGCAGCTTCTTCATCACCCACTTAAAAACACCGAAAAAAAAGAAAATGTCCTGGCTGTTAATTTTTCCCAGTTCTTCAGTTTTTGGGACCCGTGACACCCCAGGTCACAGTGACCGTAGATTTGTGGGTATCCAGTAAAGATACCACTTCGCTTAGGGATTTTCAATCTCAAATTAAAAAAAAAAAAAAGTTAAAAAATGTGTGAGCCATGTCAGGAAGCTTATGGTCCGTATGGTCCAGACTTCAGCAGATTTTGAAGCACTCATGTAGATGGAAGCAGCAGGATGAGGTAAATCCTGTACCATGCTCATCAGGTGACCATTGCGGCGTCTTGCCTACCCTGAAAGCTATGCTACAATGCCAAAAAGCCCAGGTTCCTTATGTACTCTCCCATTCTGGGGAAGAAAATGCTTTCTTCAGCAATTTGAGACACCACGACTGGACTGTTCAAGTCCCACAAGGGTTTCCCAGGAAAGAGCTATAAACAAGGGTGCAACTCTGCCTTAACCAGAGCGATCCCGTGTGGTGATGAGGGAAGGGAAGGGGAAGGAGGGCCTGCTGGGCTGTGAGACTGAGGTTTGCCACAGTGAAGCAATAAGTATCCTTTGGGAGAGACCTCAGAGCTACACTGGCAGGGAAAACCTTTACCTTCAGGTTACATCTCCTCCCTCTATCTGCAGACTCAGTGAATGTTTAACCTTGCAGAGGATGGGGACAAACAGTCCTTTTGCAGGGTTTGAGGGATGTGCCCATTCCACAAAATGCCTCATGTTGCACTGGCAGTTCTGGGTTTGTACACAATGCTAGCAGGAACTTATCACATTTGCACTGGCTTTTTAGTTCTGCAGAGTTGAACTTGGTCAGCTTTGCTTTGCAAGATACATAGAAAACCACCTGGTCCTGTTGGCCAGTGACCAGGAGGGAAGATAGGCTATAAATTAGAGGATCTGTCCACCGCTGGCTTCTGAAAAGGCAAGAAGCAAGAAGAGCCTAGCCACAATTCATTAGTTTTGGTTCCCGGTTGGACACTTCCCCGGACAAGAAGTGCTAAAAAAAGAATTAGGGAGAAAAACCTGGAAATGGTGCAATTTGGCTTCCTCTGTAGACTACAGACTGTTGCCTCTTTCTCTGGAGGACAGCAGCGTGATTTGCACAGTATCACGCCAAGACAACAGTTCAGCAGTGAGTGATTCCAAGAGACTGTTTTTGTTGGGTGGCTGCTTTTCCTTGTCTTCTTTTTAAAATGTTGATTGTATGAAGAATGTAATCCTGGGAGCTGCCAAATCATGGAGACTGTCTGTTTCTGCCACTATCGCTGCACTGTCCCTCTCTGGCCAGAAGTTAAGCAGCTCTGAGCTTGAGCAAAAACTTCAACCTCCAAACAAAAATCTGGAAACTATTTGTCATCCCACGTCTTTCCGAGTGGCCCCTTGGCCAGGGTTTCCGTGTTTGTCTTCAGTACTCAGCCATCCTTTTGACCTATCACCAGCTCCCCAGGAAACTGGATCATCTTCACAGTAGGCTTTGCAGCGGGAAAAGTGTGGAATTGTGCCAGTCCTGGCATATCAGGGCTTTGACTGGTGTAGGCAAAACCCCATTTTAGATACCATTTGACATCTAAATTTTCTGCTGCTTTGAAGATGCAACGTGTTCTGCACTTTCCCAAACCACAGCAAAGGCAGCAGCACCAAAGCAGACATTAAAAACTGTTCTGCAAACCAGGCATGTGTCCTTCAAGAAAACAGTGATCCCTGTCTCTCTCTGCAGGACCTACATGGACAGGGACTGATGGCTTTTCACTCCGATTATTGTAACTACACTGTCCAGAAGGCTGAGAGCCACAGCCTGGGAGAAACAGCAAAATCCACAGGACACCCTCCAAAATCTGCTGTTTGTGGAGCAGGGTGGTCTTGCTCAGATCTTGGCATTGAGAGACCTGCCAGCTGTTCCTCCTTGCCTGGACATATGGCTAGGGACCATCTGCTGGGCATATTGTTTGGGTCCTGAGTTTTGGTTCTGTCACTTCTCAAACTCCAGCATCCCAGGCAGGTGGGTCTGGGAACCGGCAAAGCTGTTTGTTATTAGAAACACTTGCCATGGGGCTTTTGGAAAGTTAATTGGAAAGCCAGATGTAGCCAAGTGTTCTCACTGCCTAGGTCTCTCTCACTTGACCTCTGCTGTGAAACAAAGGCTCCAGCGGCCCATCCTCTCTGCAGGTCAAGGATGGTGCTCTTCACAGGTTAATCAAAATCGGAAGTGCCCACTGGGAGGGAGAGAATTGAATCCCCAGGTCTTTTTTTCATGGAAATCTCTGGTGGAGGCTGTGCAGGGATGGAGTGGAGAGGACTGGCTACACCCTCACAAAAGCAGAGGCTTGCCAGCTGAACCGCAGTGTAAGAAACATCCAGTGTTTAGGGCACGTAAACATACTCCAACCCTTCAACTTGGTCATTTTTTATGACCTTATCCTTGCAAAAAGCTTTGTCTGGCTGACTTGTTGCACCTTGCAGGGACACTTTTGCTGGAACAGGATGCATAATCCTGCCTGCACTTTCCTCATCACCCCAGACAGCTAAGGGACTGCCCAGATAGCAGTAAATGTGTTGACAAAGAGTTTTCAAGATTTTGCGTACTTGACAAGACCTCCAAACTACTCGTCTTTGTGAGTTTGCCGCTCATCAGCTTAGCTCTGATCCTGCTCCTTCATCAAAATCAGGGAGTTTGTCCCCTGCTGAAGAAACCAAGGTTGAGATCAGCCAGGCGTTTTCTGCAAAAGTGGTAGCAGCCCTGTTGCAAGAAGAAAGGATGCTTCTTCCTTTTAAATGCAGGAATATGGTTTCCTTGCAAGGAAAGGCTTCCTTATTTGTTCTGGAGAATGAGCTGTAATTTCATTATATATAGTATATAATAGCAGTATAAAACCAAGGCTGGCTCAGTATGGGAACCACATTATACAGGGTTTTTGCTCTTTCCAGCTGATGCTGTGTCTTAGTGCCCCTCCTCAGTCTTTCCCAGTAACCTGCCCACATCCTGCATCAGCCAAAAATAGAGAGAAAAAGCCACTTACAGGCGGACCGCGGGGCCCGATGATAGACATGCCGGCTTCTCCTGGAGCACCCTGCAGAGACACGAGGGAGAGGAAGAGGAGTGAGCAAAGGAGGAAAGGAAAACACAAAGACAATGATACTCCTGTCAAGACTGGGGTTAAATGAGGGTGCCTCAGGTGTGAGACCTTCAGGGCTTATGGGGCAGCTGCCGTTCTGGCCTCCCCCAGCTCTTGCCTCACACTTTAGGAGAAAAGAGATGTCATTTGTAGCCACTCAGAAGTGCCAGAAAATGGAAGCTGCACAGCAAGGAGAACTATAAACACATAAAACACTTTCTGGCAAAACAGAGGTTCTGCCCCATTGCAATTGTGAAAGATGGCCTGAAACCCTTGCTGTTTCCTTACTGTGAGTCCAGGAGGACTGTGTCCTGCAGAAGAAAGAAAAGGAGGAGGGAGGTACTGGGCTTCAGGGAAATTGGAGCTGTGGGCAGCTTGTGTGCTTCTCAAACTCAGCTGAGATGTGGATGAAAACAGAGCAAAGTGCTTGCTGGAAAAGAAAACAGCTGCCTCTCCAGCTCCTTGCCACCCACAGCGTGCGATGGGCAAGACATGTCCCTCTCTCTGGAAAACAGTGTACTCCTGAGAGGCAGCTCCAGAAGTGCCCAGGGCTGGGGATCTTTGGGATGGAGCATCCCATAAACCAAGCAGCCTGCAAGCAAGCAGAGCTCTCTGCAAAACAAAGCTGTGGCCTGCCAAGGACCTAGGGCTCTCACAGAGTGCTTTGGGGAAGCAGGGACAATGGATTTTTTCCACTGTTTGTTTGCATGTATCTGCTGTCCCTTCATGTTGAAAACTTTGGCCAGAGAAAAATGCAAGGACATGCAGAGAAAAAGCAGGATGGCTTCAGGTGGGGAAATCTTAGTCTGTTGGATAATGTTGGTTGGCTCCAATGAGCAAGCAGTGAAAGCAAGGAAGGAGAATATCTCTCCTACCTTACCCTTCCTTGTTGTACTTTTCTCTCTATCTACTATGAAGAGGAGCAAATAGGCCTGGTATGGTAGCGCACAGGTGATACCCCTGTCAGGTGAATATTCATCCCTTTCCTAATTCCTACATATTGTTACTCAGTTATTCACACACCCCAAACACCTCCATTTCCCTGTTCTCACGGGTGGGAAGTACTCACAGCTCTGGGGAAAATACGCTAACACTGAAATGTCAAAACGGGCCAGCAGTAGGGTGCTTTGCAAACCACCAGTTCTTTGTGGGCACAAAACACCAACTCATTACACAGCAAGCAGTCTTTGAGATGGTGTCCCACTGTGTCAGAAATAGAAGCATGCTGTGCCATTTTCTTCCTTGCTCCTGCTTGCACCAGGGATCAGGCTAACCTGGGAGGTGGAGGGGAGCTGCAGGTTGATTAGGTCAAGCAGAGCTGCCAGTGGGGAAGAAAGTCAATGGTTAAAACCCAGGAAGCCTGGAGGGAAGCCCTGCGTGTGCCCGCTGGCTCTTATGCTGTTAGTAAATTGTCATAAACAAGAAACGCAGCGTCTTCAGAGGCTGAGTAGCCTGGAAGGAATTTGGGAAATATACTTGCACTGACACGGAAGATGGGGCAGCCTGGGGGTGTGGAAGCCCAAAGCTGACTGCAGTGGCCATGACTGTGACCAGGGAGCTTGGGCTGGCCCTAGAGGAGGCCCTAGAGTCTAGGGGTGCTACAGGCTATAAGAAGCTGACTCACCTTCTCTCCAGATTGCCCTTTTAGTCCCTGGGTCAGTGGCACCCACCGCAGCCACATGCAAGAGGGTGCAGGGAAGAGAGAGAGAGAGACAAACACAGGCGTCAGCGGCAGGGGCACGCTCTCCCACCCCAAAACCCTGGCTATGGGGTTGGGATGAGCAGGGTGGCCTCAGCTCCTACCCCACCCCTCCTCCTCATCCTCATCATGGGATGCCCGAGCAAGGAGCAGCTCCAAAATACAGCCCTGAGCCAGGCAGGGGATGGTCCCCTTCACTCAGGGCAGAATTATCTGGAAAGGGCAGCTGCTGGTGGCAGGCAGGGGTGCGTGTTAGCAAGCCCACAGTTAGCAAGCCTGGTCAGCGCACGAGGTGGAGCAGGAGGCACCCAACCAGGGGGATGCTGAACCAGAGGAGGACCTGGATAGCACAGCAGAGGGAATGGAAACACCCCTCCTGGCACGTGTGTGGCTTGCAGGGCTGGTCACCCTGCTGCAACAAGGGGAGCCCCTCAGGTGTGGGGCTCAGAGAGAACACTGACACCTGCCAAGGACCATCCTGAAAGCTCCCCCCGCCAAATCCTGGGGGTTGGAAAAGAATGGGGAGGATAAGGCACACACAAGAGGTTTTGACTTACCGGCCGCCCAGGGATTCCCATCGCACCTTTGTCTCCCTGGTAATTAAGGCAAAATCAGAGGCAATTGGTAACTAACCAAAAGCAAGGTTATAAAACAGCACGAATGAAGTGTGCCACAGCAGCAGCTTTGTGCTGTGGTGCAAGTGTCGAGGGATTTTGAGGGGTAGAAAGAAAGTTAAAGAGAGGAAAGTGCATTTGCATGTGCCCAAACCTGTCTTTAAGAACATGTGTGAGCCACCAGTTCATGTGTATATATGACAAACCAGCAAATCTCACAACAGAAATCACACACTGCAATTTAGGCGGCAAAAGAAGGACAAGAGTCTCCAGTCAAACAAAGTGTAATCCCAATTTCCAACACTTCATAAAATCCAGGTCCTGGGAACTGGCTTCCTGAAGTAGCCAACTGTCACGTTTTTCTCTTTCTTGACCAAAGTCAGCTGGGTGTTAGCTACTTATTTATAGAGTTATCACTTTGAAACACAATTCTCTTAGACTTGAAAATACAGTCCTGTCCAGAAGCAACAGAAAAATGTGAGAACACAAGCTGACACAGGAAAAAGCATGTCTGGAAGAAGACATACGAGCAGCTGTGTTCAGTGTCCTCTACCCCTTTGAGTTACTTCCCAGTGCATTGTCAGGGTGTGAACGATCCCAGCAGTGGTTTTGGGAATGACTGTGGGTCAGGAGACACTGGACAGAGCCTCGTAAACACATGAACGCAGGACTGGTGGCAATTTTCTTCAGCCACTTACCTACAAGGCAGTTTGCTGCCTCTTGCAGTTAAATTTAACTATGCAATTAAAAAAAAAACAAACCACCCCCCTCTGCATTCCTGGTCACCAAAACTGAAGGCTGTGCAGATCTGGAAGACAGCAGCTCATTGCTAAAGGATCTTGATGATTATGGCTTCAGCAGTCATGCAGCTTCTGCTCTATATTTTGCAAAAATGACATGATAATAATCTCTCAGTTCTGTTTCCAGCAATGTTTGGGGTTTCCTTATGTAAAACAGAGTTTTCCTGCCCATGGCTGACTGTGTCTGTGGGCACAAACCTGGTTTTCTGGTTTTTGCAGCTGGAGACACCGGCCTCATCGGTGCCTTCCCCCATATTCAGCCCCGGCACATGTGAACGTACTCTGAAATCTCTGGAAAGGGAAGGCACTTCACTATATTGGTTTTTCTGGGTGTACACAAAGGCTCTTCTGGTTGTACAACCCAAACTCCAACATTATTGCCTGGGATCAAACCATTCCTTAGTGGAAGTTTAGCCACTTCCCTCTGTGGAGCTGTTCGGTGTGGGGAGCATTCCTTCCCATGCAGCCCATGTTTTGATAAATTGAAGAGCAATACATGCTTTGCAAAAGCATCCCTTGCAGATGGATCAAACGCTAAACAGCTGCTTGATTTTAAATTTCGTCCATGATATATTATGGGAAACTGCTTTCTTCCAAGGTTTTAGGCGGGTTCTCAGTCCTGCTAATATTTGCCTATCTCTGTGTGCCAGCAGCGAGCAAAACTCCTGGTGTCAGCATCTTGCCCTGGGATTCCTTTGTGGCTGCTGGAAAACGTAACGCTGAGCTTTCCTCTGCTCTTAGTCCCTTAAATGCTGCTTTCCTCCACAGCTGAGCCCAGGCTGATCTCCCTCGTGGTTTGAGGTAAAAGCTGAGTTAATTTCTCCTGGCTCTGCTGTGGCTAGTGCCTGAACAGGAAGAGCCCAAGGTCGGGGCTGAGCCATGTCAGGTCTCCTGTGAGTACCTGGTGTCGGAGTGGTACATGACGGCACCGTATCTGGTATGTGACTGCACAGCATTACAGCCCTCCGAGCAACAACAGCAAAGGGGGAGCTCCCAGTAGGACAGCAAATAAATGCCAGATGTTTATAAGGAAAGGTTGTCTGTGACAGGGAGCCAGGAAAGAGCACTCGTGGGTGGATGATACCATGTAGGTTGGTTACAAAGTCATGCAAAGCCGCCTGAAGCTCCCACATTGGAGCTAGAGGAGCACAAAAGGCAACAAGCAGCCTCTGTCCTGAGTCAGGGGAGAGCCAGCAGCACAGTTTGCATTTCCTTCATTAGGAAACTGCCTATTGCAACTCGTGCAGTCTCCAGGTGAGCAGCAGCCTGGGGAGCAGGGAGCCATCACCAGGAAAGCACAGAGCTCTAACTCCAAAACCCACATTCCTTCCTCACTCACTCATGACTAACTCAGATGCAGATACTGTTATTACAGACTTTTGCATTTGTCCCAGAGTGACTTAGGCCTTCTAAATCTTACTGCAACTAGCAAGTCCCATCAGCAAGAATACTGCACACCCTGCCTCTTCGACCAGACTCTTAAGCTGACAAAGGTATCTTCAAAAGTAGTGTTTCCCACACATAGGAGGGCTCATGGGGATTATGTTACCCTCAGGTTTGGTCCTACAAAGCTCCTGCAGTCCCTGTTCTGTATGAGCCATGTCCTGTTTGCAATACTCTGTTCCACAGCACATTTTCTATGCCAGACTTACTTCTCCCAGTTTACAAACTCTGGAGGCCTCCTGATCAAAGTACTGCCAGACAGAGAGAATGAGGGGATGAGACGGAAAGAATGAAGTACCTACTGGGAGCCCAGGCCTTTCTGTGAGGCCCTGGGACAAATACACAGAAACAGCAAAAACTACCTTCAAACTCTGAAGGGAGGGCTTGATAAAGAGATGAAATCACATGGAAGGGTTTAGGAAACAGAATGGTTAAAAAACTCTCCACAGCTCCTTGACCATCAGCTCTGATTGCTTTGGTTTCCTAATCTCCTGCTTGTGAAGTTTTCTCTCCTTTTGGCATGGCTCTGCCCACAGCTCTCTGCACGGGCTCTGAAGGTATCTGCAACTCCATGGAGAACAAGCTAATTACAGGGCTTTGACTTTCTTCCTTACTTTCCATCTGCTAAATATTATTTTTTCATGTATGGAATTGCTGCAGTTGCCACAGAAATGTTGCATGATCAGAAATGGGAGAGAAAATGTCCATGAGAGGATCTTCTGCTTCGGATGTGGTCCAGACAGTGAAAGAGTCTGGAAACCTCTGGACTATTGCACGATTTCATCATTTCCTTCCTTCCTTTGCCCCTTTTAATCTCAATCTCACCAAATATCTTACGTGACTGCGGGTTGCCCTTGCCTTCACCAAAGCCTCAACTGACTTCACGAATAAGGGGGGGGGAGCATCAGTTGGGCAAGAGGAGAGCATGGAGACCCCTTCTGCTGCTGTGATGTTGCTCATCCACTTCCCTGGCTTTTCTCCTCCTTGTCCTAGACTACAAGCAGGGCCCAGTGCATTTCTAGTGAGAATCTCTGCCCACCTCCACACTCAAGCCAACACCAGCACTGAGAGCTAAGCCCTGCCACACTGCATGCTGTGTTTTGCAAGATGGAAAACAAAAACAGGAGAGAGACGTGAGGTGGTCAGCACTTTGGGGTTGCTCTCCAGAACAATGCATATGACAGTCAGCCAGACAGGAGCCCAGGTCTGTTTGTTCATAAAACCATTGCCATTTTAATCACAAGAAATATGAGGGGGAAAATATTTCCTATGGTGACATGGAGGATTCCATTTGGCTCTTCAGAGGTGAACTTTCGCTCACAGTGGTTTCGCTCACCAGCCATCAGAAAACCAAGAGGTCCTGAATGAGATGAGGGTGCTGCTATCCCAGGACAAATTCCACCTTGGCTAACGACACTCAGTCTGCCTGACTTCCTCTTATTATTTCCATTGGCTGTAGCACTCCTTATGGCCTGTCCTGGAAGTCTGCATGCGGAGGCAGGTTCAGGGGTCGCAATAAGCCAGGATACAGTAGCAAATAATGTCAGCACTTCTCTGGTGGTCTCATGTGTTTCTGCCAGGCTTCAATCTCTCATTACAATATTAGGTTTCTAACCCTTAGTGCTGCAGAGGAAGCCTGGAGCGTGCGTCTTCCTCACCCCACAAGGCACCGACTGCTCTCTGTGCTGAGGAGATGTCTGTGCTGAGCTATTAATTTCTCTTTAATTTCTCACAGCAATAACAGACATACCAACACCACTACCAATTTTGTGCCCACCCCGTCTATTTAATGCCAACGTCTGGCTGCCCGGGCTGGAGTAGGAGGGACAGCCATGGATGGACTCCACTTGCAGCCCCCTCCAAAGCAGTGCTTTCTTCCCAAAACCCCACAGCTAATGCTGAAATACATCCACTTCTGTCCTCATCCTCAAAGCCCCTGGGATAAGCTGAAGGTTTGTGGGGATCAGGGCTTCCAGCTGTGAAACACTTTCAGACCTTTTGGCCTAGAAGGTGCAACTTTTTGGAAGATTGTTGTCATTAAATACGTCTGTGTTCGTATATCTGGGGGAGTTCAGTCTATAGCATTTCAGCTTGATGAAACAGGAAAGAAAATAGGTTGTGCACAGCAACTACTTCTCCTCAGAACGTCATCTGCAAACTGTTTAAGACATTTTTGCATGAACAGACAAAAGATGACTACCGTATGTTTAACTTCTCATGTTCCTCCACAGAAACCCACTATAGTCACTCTATTGTACACGAATATAAACCATTTCCCCTGGAAGGACTGTGCTAGAGACAATATAGGGTTTCTTTATAATCCTGAGAGATACATGGCCTCAGTCCTTGCATTGCTGCTGCTGGTTCACTGTGGGTCTCTTAAGAGCTACAAGAAAATTTCTGCAATAACCTAGCTATTTTCCTGAAGCCTAAATCATCTGCACTGAGGTTTTACATTAGCTAACATTTGAAAAGGAAGCTGTCAACACAATTTTTCCTTGGAAATTGATAGCTGTGCAGCTATACTTGAGAGCCCAGCAGTTCAGCCAGCCTGGGTGAAGTAGCAGGGAACAAGTCCCTCCAGCTCAGCTCCTGCCATGTGTTTGTGATCTGTCTTTCTCTTTTTTGCACACACGTCTTGTTCAGTGTGTGGCACCCAGTGCATGTGAAGTACATGCAGGCGGTTCCCCCGGAGTATGTGGGGCCAACTGGTAACACACAGACACCTGTACCACATGGGTTTCCTGTGTCCCCATCCCTGGCTCACTCTATCTTCCCCTCACAGCTGAATTGCAGGCAAGAGCAATCCCACTCCAATATAGGTCCTGACAACCCACAGTACTTGCTGTTTGGGAGATCTCAGGGTACCAGGACTGCAAAGGTGAAGTTGGCTACCACACCAGACACCACAGACAGGAGACTGTGCCAGTTCATGCCCCACAAACTCTGTGTCAACAGCTTCTAAAACCACAGAGGTTTGGTACTTACAGGCGGACCTGAAAGAGAGGGAAAAAAATTAACAATCATTAATTATTTTAATGTAATAAATGCTAACCAGAAGGACTAGATAAAAACATTGCACCATCTTTTGGGGTTGATCCTGAGGCTGCTCCCATTTGCTGATGCACTTTCACCAACTCTCTGCTTGTTAATTAAGGTATCCCCACAATTAGCAGCTGCTAATAATCACTGAGTGCAGGGCAGCCTCTGACAGCCCTGTGTCGGGAAGGCCATACAAGTCAGGCTCTTGACGCTGTTACACACAATTTTGGTCCTTCAGCACACATGAGTGGGGGTCTTGTTACTTCTGTGACTCCACCTCACATCCCTGCCACCCCTGGGGACTGAAAAAGTTGAATCTAGGGAGGCAAGAGCCCCTTTGCTGCTAAAATTCCTATGCACTTCCCACCAGCATTGGTGATCTTGCAAAGGTGTGAAAAGGTAATTAGGAAACTACAGCTATTAAACGTATCAGGTATCTTTTCTCTTTAATACAAGCAAATTTTCCCCTTTGCTTCTGCCTATGTTCCAATAGAAGCCAACCTGCCCTCTTGGAAGAAATTCCCTGAAATCCTTTGGGTTTCTTTTATTTTGGAAAGCTTTTTGGAACCTGCCAGTGTGGAGTGCTGCAACTCCCTTGTACAGAACAGTTGTACAGTATATATCAGGGCTTAAAGAGCATGCTTCTTTCATCAGTTCCCAGAAAATTCCTCAAAATCCTGACAGATATTGTGTGTGTGGAAAGAAACCCCTGGACTCACTATTTTGTGGTTTCCTCTCTGTGGGAGAAGCAAGACACACCATACAACTGTCAGGGGCTTCTACATTTTCCATACTTTATAGATACTCTTGTTTTCTTTTTTTTTCTCTATACAGAGTGCCAAGAATTAAGGTTAAGCAGTATAACAGGCGAGCTGACAGATAACAGGCAGCAGCCTCCTCCTTGCACGGGAGGCGGATGTCACAGTGAGCACCTGCGGAATACGTCGTCATCCTGAAAATGCCCCTGGCTGAAAGTCCATAAAAGAAACCGGAGACTCTGGATGAACAAACGTTTTCCACATTGGAAATCTCTCACTTAGCATGACTCTTTCATACCAGGGGCTTCAGCAAATGGTTTGGCTATCAAGCTTTGGTGACCTAAAACTGCCCTGTCAAATGCCACTGTTAGACACAGCTTTCATCGTGGTTCATTTAGAAGAGGTTACCTCTAAAGGGTACCTTTGGGTTAAAAAATAATAAAGCTTAGCACCTTCGTGATGACTGACAGACAGAGCTAAGGTCAACACTCACAGCCAGAAGGCTCAACAACTCAACTCCAATCAAATTTAGGACAGGATCTCAGGGGCGACCCAGATTTGGTTGGTCTGGCAATTGCCCCACAACCAGTGTTGATGCTGAGGTCAGTGTCCTACTTGGTACATCAAGTCTAAACAACAAAAGAGTTCCTCATCAGAGAGTTCATTTTGGAGGGCAAGGTCAGACTCACATCCAGGAATCCTAATTTATGCCAGACTGGGAGAAAAAAAAAAAAAAGAAAGTTTTCTGAGTCTGGCTTGGATGACAATGAAGTTCTGTGAGAGAACTGTTCTGGAGAGATTTTGTTTCACAGTGAGCGCCCTGTCACAAGGTCAATGCTTATGGCTTGCCAATACACGGACTTTATTTCCATTAGTAACACTGCAGACCCTTAATAACCCGCCTACCTGCCTGCGTGGGCTTGGGGCACTCACGACTTGCATGAGCCAAACCACTGAGCTAATATTAAAAGAAAAACTTAAAGACGAGCAAACCCTGAGCCATCCCTGCCCTTCTAGCCCCAACACACCCAGCCAGCAGCACAGCCTGTAACGGTATTGCTATTACCACTGCGAGAAAACATAGGCTCTTGTTTGCTCCAGAAGCTCTGTCCACAGAGCGGAGTAAATCAGCACTGCCGGCAGCTCTGGGCCCACCAGGCCACACACCCCACACAGATCAAAGGCAGGAGGCATAGTGGAGGCCCATCTCTGTTATATGCCCTCTATAAAATTAATGGTTCTGTGAAGGGGGGACTGCACAGTCTTGTGTAAACACACATCAGGGAGCTGCAGGGACAGAGTCTTGGCTGCAATAAGTCAATTGGTAGAGACCATCCAGGGACTGGGCTTCAAATGCCGGGATTGTCCATGTGATCCAGGAGAAAGCGAAGCCCCCAGACAGAGTCATTTCCAAAAGCAACATCATCTTACATGGGCTGGAGGAGGAGGAAAAGGGAGAGGAGGAGGAGGCAAGATGTCTCAAAGACAGCGGGGAGGGAGGAGGTGTTGCTGGATAAGCTGTTGCAAAGCACTGGGGATTTTACAAAGCAAAATAAAGCTTCAGCAAAATGCACTGGTCATATTCGGTCCCAGTGATAAACAAGAAGGTGGAGCAGAGGTTCTAAAGTGTATTCTTAATAAAACAAGTAGTAAAGGCACATTAGAGGAAAGAGCTGGCAAAGGAGGACAGGGATATGTGCACCTCCACCCCCAACTGCTCCAACCATTGGTGGCCAGGCTGAGCCAGCCCCTCCTGGGCAGTGCACTGGACTTGCTCCTGGCCAGAGGTCTGGCCTGGTCAGGGACGCTGACAACTCTGTAAGCCAAGGGGGAAAACTCACAAGTCCACCAGGCTGCATGGGAGCCTTCACAAAAGCCACCTGAACTGCAACAGAGTCACCACAACACCACTGCACGTTGTCCCTCATGTCACCAGTGTCCTGCATTCCCAGCCAGACTGGGGCAGCTGTGTTGAAACAGGCCTGCTTGCCCCCAAGTGGGCCAGCTCTTGATGGTGGTGAACTCCAAAGAGCTCCACAAACAACCAGGAGCCAATATTATCAACAGCCACAAGTACAAATCACGCCTCTGGGCGTTCCTCCTCTCCCTGCAGCAGGCTCTTTTGGGGTGAGATAGTGGTGGTACTGCACAGGAGAAGAGCTAGATCCCCTTTCCCTACAAACAGTCAACAGAGAAGGGACAATGAGTCAACAGAGCAGAGATCAAAGCTACCGTGAACGTTTCTAAGCCCATTCCATAGCTAAGCCCGGGCAGCAGACAGACCCAGAGCTCTCAGACCACCAAATCCCTCAGCCGTGCACAGACAGAGAACCCCCATTTGTAATTAGCACCTCCAGATGCCGTGTGTTTTGAACCTGATCTTGCTGGGCCTGGAGCGATGCTGGCGCTGGCACGCGGGCTGAGCACGGCCGTCCGCCCACGACGGGCAGCTCAGGAAGCCTCTCTCCGTGCCGGCGCCTCGCTGGAAGGCACCGGAGGGCTGTAAGCACTGGATCGCTGTTTATCCAGCTGCAGGGCTCAGCGAGCAGCGGGGGACGGAGGAGGGGATGGAGCAAACGTGTCGGGAGTGGATGAGTGGGAGGAAGCAGCGGTCTCCTGCAAAGAGGAGACCCCCAGAGCACCTTTGAAACTGAACATTGAGAAAACAAAGAATTCTTGTAGGGGTACCCAGGGTCCCTCCAAACATATGGCCTCTGGAAATTAGCACCATCTGCACTGTCCCTTCTCAGCTGCTCTGGTTTTCATGCAGACAAGCTTTCCTTAAAGCAGCTCTGCCTTCCCTGTAGTCCAAATGAGTAAATGGGCAGCCACGGCCTGCAGATAGGCTAAACCCACCTTACTGCAGATACAGAAGGGACACACCTGCGATGAACAGCAAGGCCATGCCACAGAGCCCTCTCCTCACCTGACCTTCCACATGGCCCGTTCAACCAGTGACTAACGAAAACAGAACTATAAGGAACCCTTTGCTCTCACCCACACAGAGAGATAAAAAGCCACCCTCCATGCTGTACCCTCTTCAGCCTCACAAGAGGGGATGCTTAGTTTTGTTAAGTGGGTCATATTTATCCTAATCTGGAAAGTCCCGTGTTCCAAAATAGCAGATGTTAAAAGATGGACGTATTGGAGCAGGTCAGTTTGGTAAGAGACCTTCCGCTGATGGCAGAGATATCCTCCAGCTTGAGAGACAGCAATGCTCTCTGGACCAAAAGGATCATTGAAATGATCCCATGCATTTAAGGGCATTTCCTGCTGTCTGGAAAAATGTCCATTCTAAAAAGGCTCTCAAATGCTGGAGCTTTTTTTTTTCTCTCTAATTGCTTGGATTCAGGCAGTACAGTGCCTGCAATGTGGGTGTCTTCCAGCCTGCTCCAAAAGCTCACACACAAGGGATTTTTTTCCCCCTCTTTAGCTTACACAAGATGAGGAGGACAGAGAGAGAACATGAAGACATTATTGTTGCTTACTTGGGTCATTCGCACTACACACTCTGGCAGCAGGGAAGATGTAAACATGTAATCCATCCCTGTGAGGAAATCCAGCCATTTCACAGACCCAGAAGGCAGCCTTAGCAAGTTAGAGAGATACAGTTACTTCCTGACATTCAGGACTATGTTAATTGATAATAAGATAGCTGTGGCCAGGCAATTAGTTATGAAAGGCTGATTAAAATGTCAGTGGCCTGAGCATGACCTTATCCAGGGTGGCCTGGATCCCCTCGTTCCTGGCTCCATGAGTGTCCAGTGCAGAGTGATCCCATTTTGGAGCAGGCAGACCCCAGTTGGGTGCATGGAGCCCAAATGGTGGCTTGGGCCTGTTTTAGAGACTGGCCACGCTACAGTTTTCAAACAACACACCCACAGTACTCATAGCCATGAAGAGCCATTTTCCCCATCTCCATCTGGGGACAAATGATACAAGGGGAGGCAGAGGGATGTTAACTTAGAGAGCTTCATTATTAGCTGCAGGGGAAATTAAAGACAAGAAAAATCTTGAAAATAATAAGAAAAATTTTAAGCAACAGTGACAACCCAAAGCACAACCTCCAGAAATTTTGCTTCAGGTGTTGTCAGCAGTAGCAGCCAATCTGAGTTTATAACTCACTCCAGAGAGTGCGAATCCCTTGCAAAGGCCAGGCCCCTCCGTCCCCAGAACACTCCCCTCTCAGCTACACC